CCAATACTGATTGTGGCACTCAGTCAATTTGTGGCACCTGTTGTGTGGCATAAACTACTCCGCTTTAGCCTACCCCCCAATTTAGTAGCGGATTATCCAGTCATTTAGCTTAAAAGTCATGTTAGTCACCGATCATTAGTATTTTATTTGACGATGTAGAAGACCTTCTTGTAACGTAACAAAAATATTACACGTCATTACATCATTGATAGCTTTGCTACTTTATTTAAATGATTGGAAAGGACTTTTGTAACTTAACAACGTTTACATCATTGATGATTTTGCTATTTAATTTGATAATTTGTACTCATTTAGAGATTTTAAAATGGCAAATCAGTAGAAAACAAGTTGCATAGACCTTTATTTAAATAAGCAATACTAATAAGCAAAGTTTTTATCATATCTTTGTTTATTAATAAGTAAATTATCCGAATACATCTTATAACATGAAAGAAAATCGTGCTACAATAAATCTTATTGGCCTCTCGATAAGTCGGACAGCCATGCCCAGCCCGTCGTGTCCGACTTATCGAGCTTCACCGTGTATCGTTTTTGATACTTTGTGTTAGAAATTGATAGTGAGCATCTAACAAAGTATTTAGTAACTGATACGTCGTTTCTTGACTTAGTTAGTAGTGGCTTCAGTTCTAACCTAGTGGGTCACTTCGATCATTTAAATACGGATGACAATAGTAGTATGGAAGAAGGAGAAAAACTATTTTCGAATGTTAGGAAATATCTTGAAGATGCTCAGACAGATCAACATTCGAAAAAAAAAATTGCAGGTGGATTGGGATATTTTTCTGGTATACGTAAACTAGTGGAATTATAATGAAATTACAACGTTCTTAAAATAAATAATACATAGGCAGACTCGATAAGTCGGCTGGCTGACTTATCGAATTTACGTGACTAATTTAGTACACAGTGAAATTCACTTTAACAAAGTCTCACTTTAACGAAGATAGCTTATAACGAAGTATTTTTCTGGAATCAGTTCGTTCTTAACAGAATAATTTTAGATAAATGAATATTTATATATAAATTCAGTATAACAATATAATGAAGATTTCAAATTCATGCATAAATAAGCCATTTACTTGGGCAAAATTTTTGTATAACGAAGTTTACTATAATATAACGAAGTTCGTTATAGGAATTAACTAATCAGAATCATCGATCTCAATCTCATAAATAAAGATTTAAAGCGGTGTCTTCTTACTACTAAGACTGTAAAAGAATTTCTTTTGTTCATTATATTATGTTCTTTTATTATACGCTTGCTCTTCGTCTCAAATAATAACAAAGATGCTCGAATCAACTTCAAAAAAAAAGCGTCGTATCAAAGACAAGAAAACATTCATGTCAAAAAAACAACGAACAGTCCTTACGCTTGCCCCCAAAAAGGAGCTGTGTCAGAAGAAAGACAGTAATCCATGTTTGAAAATATTGAGATAGCGAATGAGTATGGCATTGGGGAGGGGAGAAAGTGAGAAGGTGTCATCAGAAGCTATTAATAGTATTGACAGTCTTCTGTTATATTTACGACAAGAGAAATTAAATATAGAATTGCAAACTTTAAGCAAGTTACGTAAAAGTATTCTTGGAAATATTATACAGAAAAGAATTGAAATAAAATTTATAAAATCAACAATTTTTATTGGATATTCGCATTGACTAAAATTACGTGAAATATTACTTACTTTCAGAATAACGAATCTTTCAGATTACCGAAGAAATTTTGCGGAACGGGCGACTTCGTTAAAGTAAATTTTACTGTGTAATAACAAGCGAATGGAAAAATTGTTATTCTAAATAAATATCCGTGCCATGCTTGTTTGTGTTGAATAATTCATTCAATTTTCCCCAATTTCCCCTTTAAGTGTCTTAAGCGTGAAACAGATAAATTGTTGGTGCTCACAGAGCTTTTTTTTTTTAAGATTAGTGAGTGTTTTTAATTTTCTTCATACTTTACGTCCGCCTCTACTACCAGTATTCGTTGCAACGGAACAATCGGGTGACTTGTATTACACAAAGCTTACTCGAAAGTAAAAAATTTTTTTATATCATCGACTGTACCGAAATAGTAACGATATTCACCTAATATCACGTGATACCGACTTATCGAGGTGTAATTTACATATTAATATAGCAGTAAAGGACTTACGACTTTCATATGTTGACCGACTTATCGAGAGATTTAAATATTGAAAAAAAGAGCTTAATATTTTTGACCGAGTTAGGCAAAAACTGACTTATCGAGTCTGCCTATGTATTTACTCATTTCAAGGCACTTATCAGTTGCCAAAAACAATTATTAATGCGGCTGACGTTGAGCCAAATTTCTCAAATAATTCTTTCGCCTTAATTAATTCTTCTGAAATTTCGGCAACTTCGGCGAATTCTCAATCAATCTCATAATATTCAGTGTGTTCTTTTATTTTTTCTCTGAAAATTAGTATGAGTGCGACCCAGATTAATAAAGTGCGCTCTCACCAGTTCATCGAGCCAATCGAATTTGGAAATTGACAATTATAAATTTGGTAATACATATTTAATTAAACAATTTTATTATTAATATTAAGATAATTTACATCGTAAAATAATCTCGCAGGCTAGATAGAGAATCAACTTGCTTTTTTCTTAAATGACAATACTGCTCTAATCGTATTATCTAATAATACGAATTTATATAACTACCTCCCCTAGCACCACAAAAAAATGGCAGGTCATGCGTCTGTTATGTGACACAATTGTATTCTGACCAACGAAAAACTTTGCAATAATTGGGTTTACATGCAAATTTGCATTTCTTTATATAGACAAAGTTTACAAACACAACTATCCGAATTAGGATCAATGTCCCAATTTGAAAACGATAAAATACACTAATACTAATACTAAGACATAAGCTTAAAACGTTAAGCGGGAATATGTACAGTGAACTCCCTCTAAGTGCACGTCGTCGGGACCGACAATGTGCTTGCATTTATGGAGAGCGTGCATTTAGAGAACACCAATCATTTTGTTTCACGTGACCGCTTTGCATAATATGCCAAGATAACGGAAAGATGTTTATTCAAAT